AGGCCTAGGGGAGAAAACACTGAATCATCCAAGTTCCTTTCACAAATCAGAGACTGGTCGTCAACGGACCCTGCTTCTGTATGTGTGTATACACACACACACACACACACACACACACACACACACACACACTGTTTGTAAGTCATTTAAAAGAATATAAACTCACACAGAAGATAACACTTGTCATTTGTATATAAAACAATTTTACTTAAAATAACCTGCAAGATATACTATGACAAAAAATTTTAAAGGGTCAAGAGAGTAATTAAAATGTTATCTCTTAGGCACTTACTTAAAAAAAATATGACTGAAAATAAACTCCATCCCAGTTCTCGTGTCACTTCATAATTCCAGGACAAACACCACTGCCAGGCTCACATGGGCCTCTGAAAGTGAGCCATCCCTTTCTCTTTTGTCAACCGTTTTACTGGCATAGAAGTCACATAGAATTCAACAGGTCAATCACGCCAAGAAGAGTTGTACAGGCATCGACACAGTCAGTTTGAGAACATCTTCAATCTTGTCCTTACCACCATGACCTCTCCATTTCCCTCCAACCTCCCCAGCCAGACCTCCAAGGAGCCACTCATCTGGTTGCTGTCTCTTATTGAGGTACCTATTCTGGACTTCATATATGGAAAATTTTAAACAAGAATAACAAAGTAAAACAGATAAAACCTCAGCCAAAAAGAAAGCAGAAAATATTAAAAATTAGAAATTTAAGTGGATCAAATGGTAGCTGCATTTTCAGCATCTTCTGCAGTCCACTTTCCAATGCACTCTGCCTGGTAGGCAAGGTTATTTACATTTCTGGTCCACGGTCAGAGAGGATGCGCCAGGGACTTACAGCCACGGGTGTTTGCCTTTCACTTTTTTTCTATTACTGAAACTGCTTTAAAATGGGTCAAAAGGGAAATCAAGTGATATTACATTTTAACCCAACAATTTCTGCCCTGACAACAGGGCTATTCACATTCCTCAATTATGATCCAAGGGGATTCCCTGGAATCTGACTCCACGTGCGGATCCTTCCCCTGTCATGTTCTAGCCTTCTACATACCAGGTGTTCACGATCGAAACACTGAGACCATTTTCTTCCTTAGACTTGGATTATACTATTTACAATCCTCGGCTCACAGCCTGGTGTGCTTCTTCCATGTGGACTGAGTTGACGCCTCACTTAAATTAGGCTGCTTGACTGAATGCAAGCCTTTAAGATCCCAGATGCTATCCTTTCTGGTAGCCCTTATTTTTAACACAGAAAGTCGAGCAAGACTTTTGCTACTGAGGTCGAGTCACCTCACTCGGCCCCAGGTACCACTAAGTGTTTTCTCAGGGGTAGTCACTGGTATGATCTAACGTCTACAAGTTAATGAAAAATAATTGCTACAAGGACACCTGTTTTCTCTGCAATGGGAAGACTAGAGAGTATAACGGAAGCCAACAACAGGGCATCAAGATTTGAAAAGATATATACATCAGAGCAGCAAATTATGATAGGACTCCTTCATGACACATTCACGGCGTTTCTCTCACTGCCGTGTTGATGTCAACTCATAGACCTTATAGGGCAAAAGGCAGCATTGCCCTCGCGGGTTTCCGAGACTATAACTGTTGACAAGAGCAGAAAGTTCCATCTTTCTCCCACCGCAGCAGGTAGCATGGGGGAAAAACAAGTTTTCCATCATTAGATGATGTAAAATGTGTATTTACAAAACTATTCCATATTTATCCCCATGAACTCAGTCTCCACGATTCCTTTAATTTCTAGTACATTTCCTTATCCTTTGTCTGGGCTCTGGTTTACCAACACTGCCTTTGGTAATGTCACTCACCTGTGGCTTATCATCATGTGCCAAGGGTTCACTACAAAAAATAATCCTAACAAAGGTGTGACAAAATGGTACCCAACTGCCTCTCTCTTGGAATGCTAATTCTAGAGTTTCTCCCTCCGACAGAAAGAGGGCACAGGCAGGGCTGGACAGAGCCTAACACTTATTTGCATGTGAGGCAATGAAGCAGTCTCACTTACTGCCATTGCGTGAGTTCGTGGGTTTGCAGGACTGAGACTGTTCCCGAGACAGGAAAGCCCAGTCTTTCCCCCACGAAGTTAGATGCCGCTGAGTTTGAAGAGCTGAGGCAGCAAAGTCAGGAATTCAAGTTGCGAAGAAAGAGGTGGGCTTTGCCTGCATGAGTGGATGAGTCCTATGCAGTGAGACCGACCACATCCCCTATTCCTGCCCTGCTCTAACGTGCCGCCTGTCACGTACTTTCTAACGGAGACTCTGCGTTTGGGGGCAATGAAGTAAATACACAGCCTACGGCATCAGGTGAAATCCATTAAAAACTGCGCTGACACGAAGACCGCTGTAATTGATGGGGGTGCAGGAGGGAGTGCATCTCACTAACAAGTCCCTCATCTAATTTCAAATTCATTTGTGCACAAATTAAATAAAAGGAAATAGCAATCGATGAGGAAACACAGTGGTGGTGTTCTAAAACCTGATGCGATGGATTCTCACAAAGCTTCAGAGAGAAAAATCTCAGCTGCACACTTAACCCTTGCCCTCAATCCCCATCGCTATCAGGTGGGGAGGAGCACCCACCTGGCTGCCATGGCCTTATCTTCATTGCTGAAAGAAGTTGAATTGGCACCGAGGCCTAAAGCTTCAGTCAGTTTGCCCCAAACAAAACACACAATGTCTGGATTAGAGACATTATACACCCCAAATATCTGGGTAATTTGTAAAGAGCAGTTATTGGAATACTTACTTTTCTTCATCTATACTGGAAAGGTATTTGTTTTTGCCAGGGCACAGAGAGCGTCTCAATGGCACACTGAGTGGATGCTGCCTCTCTCATCATCGGCCTGAAGCCCACAAGCCCACCAAACACAGTCGACACAACACTTACTCAGGTCACTGTTTGTCTCGCTGCACTCCAAACAGGAGCTGTGTGAGAGCAGAGATGGTTCTTCCTTGCTGGCTCCTGGGAGACCTGGCTGAGACTAAGTTATCCTGAGGCATCTGCTGAGTGCACAAATGTAAACTGCCCGGGAAGAGCTCTCAGTCAATGAAATCAAGCAGTCATGAGGACTCACAGGCAAGCAGCTAGCACCCTGCAGGCTGGGGTACTAGGTGAGGTGGGTGGCGGTGGAGTAGTCCATATGCAAGGAGCGAATGACCTCTAGAATTTACACCTGGCACCTGATGGAACTCAGGAAAAACCTGTCTCCACGCTAGATGATTTGTGTGGAATCAAGCACTACATGTACGTGCCCCACACACGGGACCCTGCTGACAGAGTTCGTTTAACCATTAAGTCACAGAACATCTAACACAATGCTAAAGATAAAAAAGAAATAACATCGAGTGTCGCTTCCCATAGAATAACAAACTAATGAATTACAGAGCCATTATTGGGTCAATGTTAATTATCACTGAAGCTTAGCATTGAAATTTTATTTATATGCATGATTTCTCTCATTGACTATTTTTCTTGATAGTGATCCCTGATGCCTTATTTGATTACTCCATGGGCAATTCAAGTCATCTCAAAATTTACCATTTTTGTCTTTATCACACCTGTTTTTTCATCCGTAAACGGTAATGTGGAGGCCCAGCCTGAGTTCCTCACACTGCACAGGGGAGTGGACGGATCACCACTGACATTAAGCTTCAGGCTGCCTGCAGCCTCCACCCTTCTTTATTAGTTCTGACATCAACTGTCCCTCATCAACCCAGCTCCCCAGCTAAGAGCCTGGAGGCAGCCTACTCCCCGAGTTTGCCAGTGCTACGGCCTAACTGCTGCCCCTCCTCTGGGCCTACTCTGGGGTCGCAGCTCCCTGCTTCTCCCTGCATCGAGGAGGTTCCACGCCCAGAGATCTTGAGGTTCAAAGGAAGAGTTCCACGCCTGGCTCTTCTTTCTCGATAGGGAGACCCTGCTTCCATGAAGGCTCGTTTTATACCCAGCAGGGGGTTCCAAGTTTTACAATCACATATAATGCTGTTAATAATCCCTGAAAGCTGAATGATATGATCCTTCCCCCACCCTTTGCTTACCCAGACCCATCAGGAAAAAGGTGTTTGCTGGGGGCTACACCAAGAATGGCCAGAGGAGTCACATGAATTCACTGCACTGCAGGCCACATGGTCTAGCCACTGTTGCTGCATGCATGTAGGGTTAACTCGCCCCCTTTTCATTGACTTACCACGCTGGTAGACCAGTCACCTCATGCGTCTTGCCCCCATTTCAGACACCCAATTTCTAAAGGGTACAGTGCTCTGAGGACAGAAGCTTGTTCTGTGATGTGAAGTGTCTTCTATCCTGGTGGAAATTTGGGCATCTGCATTCATATGCAAAGACTGGTCCACAGCAAACCAAATTAATA